TAAAAACTGGCAGCTGCCTTGCCAATGAAAGCGATTTCAAATGCAAAAAAATAGTGCCATACAGTGCAGCATAAAAATGAAATAGTTTTCTCTTTAAATGTATATTGAACTGCAATTTCGTTTTTTGGATAATTCATTTATTGTTTTCTCAATTAATTGATAACATATGGAAATATTTTTAAACAGGAAGTGATGTGATATAGAGTTTAGTCGTATTCTTAATAAAAATCTAAGCAAAAATGTAAAAGAATACAAGTGTCTTTATTATATTAAAACGTGGAAATATTATAACTTTGTAACAAAGTTAAATCCTATAATATTCCAGCATGTTTTCCTTTTAAGCCACATTAACAGCTACTTGAACAAATTGCCAAGTTTTAGTTTAAAATCCATTGCCATTCCGCACAGTCTCTACCCACATCATCATCATCATCATCATCATCACCCACCTTTCACATACACGCACTTTTCACATCCACTTTGTTGGCAGCCTGTGGGAAAATCCCCGCAACCGATTGACGTGAGAACTTTTAGCCAAGTTTATTGCATCGAAACTCAAAGCCAATAAAAAAAAAGTGGAGCCTGGGCCTGGGCCAGGCCATTTAGCCGGAGGAAAGGCGATCTCCAACGCAGTGTAACCCGCTCAATTGAATAGACAAAGAGGGGCACTCAGTCCTTTGGCCATGTACCCCTTCGTCCGACACCTGCGTCCTCCTGCCATGCCAGGAGGTGGCACTTCGAACAGGCTCCCAGAAATCGGCAGGCAGGCAGTCAGGTAGCTCCAGGTGGAGGCAAAAGGTGCATGCAACCTGGAATTCACTCAACGTTGTGCAGCGCCAAATGGATGCAGGCAGAGTGACAGCAGATTCCAGGGGATCAAGTCGGGGGAGAAGAGACTAACTACACAGGAAAATAATGCAGGAACTTTCACTAATGTACTACTTTTTTTTGCTAAGATTTCTTTTAGCTTAAATAAATAATTAAATTAAAAATCTGGAACAGAAGTGTGTAAGGGAGACTTCAAAATGAAATGAAACATTTTAGAAAATATAGTTTGGTTTCAAAAATTAATATTTATTGTACAATATATGCAATATACATAAACCAACTGAGAAATCTTTAAATACGATGAATTACACTTTAAGTTAAAGCTAAAACTTGTTTCTACTTTAATCTCATGAAGAAACTTCATTATTTTATATATAAAATAACTATACTAACGTAATATTTGTATACACTATTTAATAGCCAAGTTTGAGGTGATACCTTAATCTTTTTCCTGTGTAACGAAGGACGTGAGGGGAGTCCATGAGGAGTCTGGCACCGTTGGTAATCCACTTTCGCGTCCTGCGCTTCTTGCTGCATTTCGTTTGAGCCGCAAAAATTTTAGCTTTTATGGCCGAAAGAGGCAAAATATGGCTACCACCCCATACACGCTTTTATCCCTTTCCCTTACACACATGCAAATGGAATTTCCAAAAATTTCAACGCCAACAAGTCCTTCATGGAAATTTTGGGTCTGGCCAAAAGCAAAGCCGAATTTTTTGTTTTTGTAGTTTGAAGTCTAGTTGATGGAAAACCGCTGAAAATATGGCTGGGCTGGGAAAACAAATGCAGAAAAAAAAGAAGTTTTTGCTTTGCCATAAACCGATTTGGTAGCAAATTTTATGTCGTTTAGGTGGAAAATTTCCATTTGACTGCCCTTCGTGGGGATCAAGGATTCAAGGAGCTCTCGGGAAACAGGTTCTATTTTTTCGATTTTTATTTTTTTGTGAGCTATTTCTGTTGCTGCAGTTTATCGCTGATTGATATTACCTAAGGTCAAAGTGAAAGTGGGATGTCATCAGACTAATTGAAATTGGATTCAGGGAGAGTCAAGAGTCAAGAGGATAAAAAGCATTCATTAACCTTTGACGGATAGATGTAACATGAATGCCAAGAACATTTAAGAGAAATAGTTACTGAATTACTCTGATCCTTGCTTCAATTTAAGATTATAGTTAAGTTTCAAGTAAAAGGTTATTTGCTAGTATTTTAAATATTTTTTAAAGAGAGATTTTTGTTTTTATGTGGTCTTTAAACTTCTGCTTGCTAGTTAAACATTTAATTTCCGCCGCTTTTGTTCCCATTTAAGCCGCATAAAAACACGCAACTCTTTGACTTTGTTCTACTTTATTTTTTTGATATTTCCTTTATTACAAAACACGGCGGAATCATATGAATGGGGAATCCGGAATTAAATCCAGAATCCTGGCAATCGGCAATCGGAGCTAGTGCAATCGAGCGGATCCGGCAGCAGATGCCGTGCGGTTGTCAGTGAATCGAATCGAGATGGAATTGCGAGCGAACTGTTTGCCCAGATATCAGAATCTATATATATGCCTCGATGTGTATAATGCCCGCATGGTGGACATCCTCGGCATCCGTGTATTTATATGGTGCCCCTCCTATCCCCCTTCACCCAGCAATGCATAAATAACGAAACCAAATTTGCGAAATTAATTAAATCGACAGCAAAGTAACGTGTGCGCTTTGGGTTTTACGCTTTGACTGCGGCCGGTGTTTTACAACCCAAACAATTCACACACACCCAACCACCGGGGAAGGGGAATCACCCAACCACGGATCGGCACCCATTGAACTCCACTCCGAACCACCGCACCGCAATTGTGAATTGTGCGGATGATGATACGGCTGTGAAAGACCACCACCTTATGAAGGGAGGAGAGAGATTGTAGGCATGGCAACCTGGAATGCAGTGCACAGGATTACCCTCCAGTGCGATTTTTTCAGGTATTAAATGGGTAATATTGGGGTAGAGATACCTCTAAATAAGTTAAATAAAGTATAATTTAAGCTTAAAGATAAGTGGAAATTGTGATTTAAATTGGACCCTATTTAAGGGTTTAAAATGTTGACAAATTAATTGATTCTATGTGATTCAGTATGCAAACATTTTTTGGAAAGCATTAACACTAAATTTAGAGATACAACAGAAAATAAGCAGAGAATTTCACCTTAAATTAAACCATATTCTAAATTTAAATAGGCGTGAAATTTTTTTAAGTTAGATAATAAGATGAATATTGCAAGACAACGTTAAGAGAGACCTTAATTTTATTAAACCGTATTAAAGGCTTGCATATGCTTCAAATTTAAATACTATTCTTTAGTAAGTAAAAATGCATAAGCAAAATTTAATTCGACTTCATAAATACAAACAGAAACTTACAGGGCATTTTACCTTTACATTCAATTGAATTTAAGGCTTAAATTTAATGACTTTCCAATTATTTGCAATCCTGATTATCAGCAAGTCTTTAAAATCAATTTATTTAATGTATACACAATTTTTAAATTAATCAAAATAAGAAAACATTTAATTCAATTGACAACTGGGCTAAATTAATTTTAAGGATTAAATCTATATCAGTATCTATGAGGCCATTATTTAGAGCCTGGCAGAGAGTGTATTCCACTCCCGATTTTTGCTCCCAGCAAAACCAGGATAATTTGAGTGAGTGAGCTGCTCCTGCAGCTATATTCCCACACACATATATATATATATATATATCGGACTGTACTGGCTTAATCTCCGTAGGGCACAGTGTCGTTGATTTGCATTTGCACAACTCATTAAGGATTCACACTTGCCCTGGCCAGCCCACACACAGATACACGTAAATAATTTAATGTTCCAAGTGCTCCAACATCGAAATTTGCACATCGATAAGCGGAGCTGCGGGCGGTTGATAAGCGGCCTTCGTGTCACTCGCTCCTGGCATTATTCAAACCGACTCAATCGGCAATTAATGCCACTCTGATTCCCCGATTTGCCCATATGGTGCTTCAGGTTGGAGCCAAAGAATCGGTGGCTCATTAATAATCGGGCGCTGCGTTCATACATCACTCATACGTCACGTTGGTTAATCCATTCGTCAGAGACAGGAGCTGTGCGTGAAGTGGGCTGAAGTGGATGTGGATGTGGATGTGGATCCGGATATGGATGCGGGAACGTCGTCCCACTGACAGTCTGTCTAATCTGTGTCTATGCGTCCGCTCATTCCTGTGACACTCTGTGTTTGCGGTATCAATCACAATGTTAATACCAATGTTTAGGCTGGATTATGTGAGCGGGTTGAAAGGGTTTCCCAACAGTCACAGCCTGACTGATGTGTGTTTAGAGAAAGATATATGAACAGGGAATTTAATACTTCTGCATATGTATGTATGGTTCTGAAAAAGATATTAATCTAGTTAGTTTGGCTTTAATGTTATTAGATATAAGTTATATTTAGCAAAACTGGACCTAGGCGCTGCAAAATCCTTTACAGGAGAAGACAAAACCACTGACAATGGCCAAAAGACAGCCACCGCCACTGCCAAAAACTCATGAAAGAGCTGTAGGGCCCCGTGGAGTGGATACCAAGGCCAATAATGAGCTCTTCCTGACTGAGGTCGTCAATACCACCAATAAATACCGGGCAATGCATGGCTGCCCGGCCTTAACTGTGAATGCGGAACTAAATAAAGTGGCACAGGAATGGGCTAATGTATTAGGAATTAATAAATTATTATTGTTTAATATTTTGCATAATTTGCAGCATCTTCGTGACAAGAACATGATGCAACATCGACCCAATCCCAAATACGGTGAGAATATATTCCTGTCTGGAGGAATGGATGTCGCTGGGGATTTACCAGTGGAAATGTGGTATCGAGAAATCAATAGCTACGACTTCCAGAAAGCTCAATTTGCGCCAACTGCAGGACATTTCACTCAGCTAATTTGGAAGGCTTCCAAGGAAATTGGTGCGGGTGTGGCTAGAAAGTGAGTTTTAATTTGTGATTTGAATCTATAGCTATATTTTGGTTCTTTATTTCTATCAGAGCGGACAGAACCTGGGTGGTTTGCAATTACAATCCAGCCGGCAATGTTGTGGGTCAGTTCAAGGATAATGTTCCTCCTAAAACTTCGTAAATAAAAACATTAGCAGAGGTCCAGTATTTAAGGGTAGTTTTATTTTGATTAACAACATTTTTACAGGGATTTACTCTTAATTATCATTCTTAACTAATTCTTATAATTTTTGTTTACTTTTGCTGCAATCACATGCAAATTTAAGTTTCTTACAATGGCCTTTCTTTAGCTTCACTTGATTTTTTATTGATGATGGGACCTTTTTCTTTGTTTCATTTTCCTCCTCTGTGGACTCATAGAAAAGTAGTCTTCGGGGCAGAACATTCTCCTGAAAGTGGCCTCTTGTATTCCCAGGCGGATCATAATTGCACACAATCCAAATACGGTAATCGCTGAGGTTGAAAGGAAGTTAATTTTCATTATTTTAGGTTAGAGGAGTTTTCTTACTTGGAGGCCACTCCCACGCCAAGGTATTTCGTATTCCTCCACACCATTTGAGTGAAATGTCCAGTGTATGGGCTAAAGCGGGGATTTATGTAGTCATGATGATACTTTTCCTGATACCACAGCTTCATCATTTGCTCGATGGAAAACAGTGGCTTACGAATACACATAATATTTTCGCCATAAATGGGGAAAGGGCGGGTTTCAAGGCGATCATAGTAAGCCAGGTGCTACAGAGAGGATTTAAAATAATAAAAAATAATAATATTACATATAATACAGCCACTTACTTTTGCCCAGGCTTCAGCGTAATTAGAAATTTCATCATCCATTTTCAAAGGACTCGCTTGATGCAGTTTCCTGTACTTGTTTGTTTCTTCTAAAACAGATCTCTTTATAGCCTCGGGTTGATATTGAAATTTCTTGGTTACTGATCTGGGGAAAACCTTTTCAGATGATCTTTTTTGTGATAGGCTTTGTTTTGATGAAGGAGCTGTACAATATTTAGCGCCGCTCCACTGCCACTGGGTATTGCAAAGCTTCTCATTTTTCTAGAGTCTATTTTAGGCAATGTCCTTGTGAGTTTTGCAGGATGAGACCACTTGGAGGTTTCTGGCATTGATCCTTTGACCTCGCAAGCCAGGTAAGTCCTATTATTGGCATATATCCTGTAGGGTTTCTGGCAAGTAGTTTTGAGACTGCTGCGACAGGTTTCCAAATTCCTTTTCTTCAGATCGCAGGCTATGAACTTGGCAAAGTCGTGCTGAACCAATTCCAGGGGTCCATTCTCAGGACATTCCATTTCAATTTAATTTTTTTGTCTAGCAATTTTCTAGGAAATGTGTAAATGTTTAATGTCAGAAAAAAGACGTAACTGAATGTCTGCTGCATCATACTTAAATCGAATGTTGGCTCGCTTGTCCTCCAGGTTTCTGTAAGCTTTTCTGTCTGTTTAATTTTTCACCATTACTTTTTCCCCGTCTCTCCGTTTTATTTTTGGCGACAATTCCATGTCACACATCATTAATTTTAAATTTCTGTCATAAATATCCGCGAGCAGCGGGTGCCGTCGGGTCACAAAGGTGTCAAGGTGGAGTTATGGTAGCAGCGTGCCCTCTGACCTGTCCCCCGTGGCCTGCTTTTTGATTGACTGTTGTGTCACTTGGGCATGGAAATTAAAATGGAATTTTTTTCAACACAGTGAGTTTTCACGCCATTGTGAGTTGCGACAGAGGTGGGCGTTGAATTCGGGGAAGATGGGCATATTTATGATTCAATTTCCTTTCTTTATAGTTATAGCTTGGGGATTGGTTTTCTTGATAAAATGTTAATTGATTTTGGCTTTTAATTAATTTTGTATTCTGTGTGATTTGATTATTAAATCCAAGATAACTAGAATGATATTAAAGAGTGAACAGTTTTTATACCCTAGAAAGGCTATAAAGGAGTTCCGATCTTATAAATCTTATATATTCCTGATCAGCATTAACAGCCAAGTCGATCTATTCTATCAAATTTTTTTCAAAAAATTTTCATAAATTGTCAAAATTAAAATTTTATTTTAATATTTTAAATTGAGTATGCAGACTTATTAACATCATAAAAAGTAACATGAGAAAGAAACATCTGAAATGAAATTAATACTTTTTTGGTTAGTTATGAGATTTTTAAAGTCTTGATTTGTTGAAAAAATAATTTTTATTTATTTTCATCTATATATATAAAATGCTCTGTTCGTGTCTACATCCTTCATAGACTCGAAAAGTTCTGAACCGTTTAAGCCCAAATTTTTACACAACATGCGTTGAGGTTCCAGCTCGGTTATTGACTACTTTTGATGTTGATAGCTTATCTGCGGTTGCGAATATATCTATTTTTTTAGCGTTTCCAAGTGCCCCTACTGCTGCGCCATCTACAGGCAGCCAGCTGAATCAAAGCATTTCCTGTCAAACATTCAAAACATATTGAAAGAAGAAACTTGAAAAGTTCTGAACCGTTTAAGCCCAAATTTTTAGAGAACATGCGTTGAGGTTCCAGCTCGGTTATTGACTACTTTTGATGTTGATAGCTTATCTGCGGTTGCGAATATATCTATTTTTTAGCGTTTCCCCGTGCCCCTACTACTGCGCCCTCTACAGGCAAATCAAAGCATTTCCTGTCAAACATTAAAAACATATTGAAAGAAGAAATTGGAGATAAAAATTTTATTTTTGTTCAGGTTCAGTAAGAAACGAAGTCATGCCACCAAAAAGTCGAGATTGGGTCGTTGTATTCGCAATACAGAAGCAAAAGACGTAAGATTACGAATATGACTGACGAAGAACGGGCCTCCTTCCGAGAGACTGAGCGGCTGAGAGCAATGCATGGGAACGCGTTAATATTGCTCGCAGGTGATTTCAGACAAACGTTGCCTGTGATTTCCCGATCGACACCAGCTGACGAGATAAATGCTTGCCTGAAATATTCTATATTGTGGAAACATGTACGTACATTACAGTTGAAGACGAATATGCGTGTCCAGTTACAGAACAATGACTCAGCCGACGTATTCTCACGACAGCTACTGGACATTGGGAACGGAAAGCTGCCAGTCAATGAGACGTCGAGAAAAATAGTATTGCCCGGGATTTTCTGTAATTTAGTTACATCGAAGGAAGAACTTATCCAAAAAGTGTTCCCCAATATCCGAATAAATTATAGGAATCACGATTGGCTCAGTGGACGAGCGATTCTCGCTGCCAAGAACAAAGATGTCTACCAGCTCAATCATGTAATCCAAAAAAGCATAGAAACTGACGAAATTACATATAAGTCGATAGATACCGTTGTGGAAGCAGAGGAAGCAGTTAATTACCCTACCGAATTTCTAAACTCACTTGATCTGCCTGGAATGCCACCACACATATTGAAATTAAAAATAGGTGTGCCGATTACATGCTCCGGAATATAAATCAGCCGAAACTCTGCAACGGTACGCGACTCGCAGTCAAGAAATTGATGAACAACATAGTAGAAGCAACGATCATAACTGGTCCTTTCAAAGGTGAAGATGTCCTCATTCCTAGGATTCCTATGATCCCGACAGATACACCGTTGCAGTTCAAGAGATTGCAGTTTCCCATTCGTTTGGCGTTTGCAATGACCATAAATAAAGCTCAAGGTCAATCTCTGGAGTTGTGTGGTCTGGATTTGGATGAAGATTGTTTTTCACACGGACAATTATATGTTGCGTGTTCACGAGTCGGAAAACCAAAAAGTCTTTATATTTACGCGGAGAATGGAGAAACAAAGAATATTGTATACCAACAAGTATTACAGAATTAAATTAATTTGAAAATGATTATTTTTTGTTTGACTTATTTCTTATGCGTTCAACCACAATATGCCACAGAGAAACGTGGCAGTCCATTTGGAGAATGGTCAACGTGTCTATTTCACAGAAAAAAATGTGCAAGAAAGAGTCCTGAATCGGCCAGCGACAACTCTGACTGCCTTCTTCACCTTATGCCAGGAAGATGATTTTGCCAGAACCTTGATGTATTCAGAAGTGCCCTCTTAACCATAATATGCCACAGAGAAACGTGGCAGGGTACAGCTAGTTATTTATAAATATTTTTAAATGCATTCATGCTTTTTACACATCTTTTATACATTTCTTACATCGCATTTATTTTATTTCCCCCTTAACCATTTCAGCTTCCATTAAAAGTTTTCCAACTATTTACCACTAAAAATCCTTTCAAAATCAGATTAATGCCGAATTCTTCGCCGTACACTGATTCGCAGGATATAAAAGTCTGAGCAGTGCCTGGAAGCTATAACTTTATGGCTACCCGTAACCCGTTAACCCAATAAACCACTTTTAGGAGCAACAGCCGAAGGACGAGCGGCAACAGTCGGTAACAGTTGGCTTCAGTTTCACGCCGTCAACAAGTGACAAGCACACCATGGCAAATATCCAAAGACACACACTAGAGCACACACACAGACACACACATATGTACACATATAGAAAGATATATGTATATATATATACGTGTTACTGGCATCACGTCAAAATTGGTTGGCATCATGCCACAGAAATTTCTGCTGGCTGCAACAAAAGCAACTCAGCGAAAATGGGAAAACGCTCAAACAACGGGAAGAAGATAAAAAAAAGAACAGGATATATGTAAATACACACACTGACATAAGCATATATATATATATATATATATTATATATATATATATATATACATATTTGAGGCTAAAAAATGCTACGTTAAAAAGGAAGCGTGATCGTAAGGGCAGCCCAAAAAAGTAGACTATGAATTTTTATGGTAAATTTTTGTGTATTTTTTGTTTAATTTCAGTAAGCAAATAACAGGGGACAGAGGGGCCAGGACCCTGTTGTCCTGTGGCATCCTGATGTACGTGATGTTGCCATACACTGATGCTGCCCGGAATCCTTGGCTACCCAATGGTGGCCATTATATAGGTCCCTCTGGTTTTTGTTCCCCAGCAAAATATTAATTTAATCATGACGAAAAATGTGTGTAATGAATTTAATTATTGGAAATATATTCAATATTAAATTATTAAATTCATGAGCACTATGTGGTGCACTCTGTGTGACCTACATCGTTGCTGACCTACAAAAAAGTAATTGTCACAGCTGCGGTTTACCAATTTGAAATTTTGAATATATATATTATGAGCAGGTTTATTGAGAAATTTCTATTTTAGTATTTTGCATTTTAGCTGTTTACAATATAAATATTTGGGTTTTTACTTTTGTCATGAAATAATGGATTTTCCGAATAATTAGTAATAATTAAATGCAGTTTAAGCATTAAAATCTTAACTCTTAGTGGCATTGAAACCTTAAACTTATACACCTGGCAATAAGTTTCAGACAGTTTCCTGCTGGTTTTGTCCCATTTAACACTCTGTCGAATTGTTAAATGCATTCAGCTGTCAAAAAGCCGCAGACAAAAGTTCAATTTAATTACCGCAAAGAAAGAGGGAAAAGGGGGAAGTGGATTTAACAAAAAGGTGTGGAATTTTCCTGGGTTTCCCAAACGGCGGATCGGAATTTGCAGTTCCAACAAAGCGTTGCAGCGTCTGCCAATGAATCGTACCTCCTGCCAATGCATTTACAATGTAATTAAGCAGACTCAAATATTCGCATTTTCTCATTTTGTGTTTTCTGTTTTCTGTTTTATTTTCTTTTTCCCCATTTATTTTTTGTTTCTGTTGTATGTTAAAATATGGGTAAATGAGGTCATGCAAGGTATGGTATTTGTGGGGAAAATGCAAAGTCGAAGGGCGAAGGAAGTTACGCTTTCGCACTGTGAAAACCTTCTTCGTTATGCATTGTAATTTGCGTGTAATTTTCAAGGCGTTGGGAAAAACGTGAAAATGTTTTTGCTATAACAACAACAATAGCAACAAAAGGGGCAATAATAATTGCAACGCAGCGGCACCAGCAACAGAAAAACAACAACACCAGCTGCTGCTTTAAGGCAAAAGTCTCATTTATTTTAATGTGTCGACACTGACGACGTGCAAATGTCTGCCACTTTTCCAGCAGGTTTTTCCCTTCAGTTTTCCGTATTCAGTTTTCAGTTTTCTGCAAGCCAACCAGCCAGCCAGCGAATTTTCCCTGTTTCAAATTGCATGCAGACGCAACGGCTTGTGCGTGTGTGCATTGTAATTATTAAGCTGACAATGCAGCATCTGTAGCTGGTATTCCCGTTGATTTGGGCAGGGCTCCCCAAAGGATACAAAGGATATTGGTGGAATATGGCAACAATAACAGAAAATAGTGGTGCATTAGGGATCATTATAGGTTCAAATTACTCCTAAAAGCACTTACAGGTACGCTTAAAAAAACAGGTATTTGTTATTTGTAAACTAATACAATATTTCAAATTATTTAATTAATTTTATGGAGTATATTAAAGAATATTTTAATAATCGCAACATTTTTAAACCTATACAAATATTACCAATCCGATTTACGCTGCATCCCTGGCTTTATTTCCCTCTGTCATTCTCTGTGGGTCAAACCCTCTACATACATACATGGCTCATGGAGCACAACTCATGGCCGACAACGGTCATAACAATGCCAATTTTAATGGTCATTACAATAAAGCTCATAACCATAAAAAATGCACAGCGTCCAGTGACAGCAGGAACAAAAATGCCAACAACGGCGAGAACAACGACAACCAACAGCACGCGAAATCATGAGCATTTATTGGGCTTATGGGCCGTATTAATAATATTCATCCGTGGCGCACTCCCCAGATCATAGAATAAAATGCAAATGAATTAAATTTCAATTTGAAATACAAGCGGCAATGCAGCAACAAAACAAAACATAAATTGGATGCTTGTATACATTTTTTGGATAAACGATAACAATTTGCAAATATAAATATGGCTGCAGGTTACTTTGTTTTTCGGTAAACCAATTTTGTCACAGATTTTCTTTTGGATTTTGGCTTATGGATTTGGGACTTATTTAAAAACGAGGTTGGATTTTGATTACGTAAATCAGTTTATTTTTTTCACAAGTGCTTTTATAGCTGTGCAAATATTTGTTTTAGTTATGATAAAATGTTCACTATCGTAGTGGTTGAGCTGATCCATGTTTTAATCATGGGAATATCAGCATATACAGTGGCGATCTTAGGAAGTCGCATTTGGAGTTCCAGGATCCGATGCCAATCAGTTTTCCATCGGAAACCAACGGTCCCCCGGAAAAGCCTTGGCAGATGAGGTTCGAAGAGTTCGATTTCGAGGCACACAGTTCGTCGAGACTCAAGATCCGCTTGATAAGGTAATCATTTCCCCTACAATCTCGCTTTTCAACAATGGTGAGATTCGTTTTCATTAAAATTTCCTCAGCAGGCTCTTCACCCACCACATTTGCCCAGCCAGTGACTGAGGCCTTAGTGCCCGTCCTGGGGGTTCTGCTGGCCAACTCAATGGGTTTGACGTTGTCGTTCAATTCAACGGAGTCCTTTAGAGTCAGGATGGCCACATCACTGGGACGCGAACCCATCAATTGCATGACCACCTTTGTTACGGGTACCACTTGACCGCCGAGATCCATCTGGTCGGAGCCCACTCGAACCGCAAGGTTACCCGTTCTAACACCTTTGACACACTGAGCAATGGTTAGGATGACATTATCCTTGTAGATCACCCCGCCGCAACGATGCTTGTCATGCACCAGAACTGATGCCTGCCAAGGAGCTTCAGAGATGTCTATTTCAAAACCAAACACGTTGTCTATTTGGCCAAATAGTTGGATTACTGCTAGGAGCAGAGTCAGTATTATGAAAGACATTTTTAAGCACGGTATAGTGTTTCGGTGAGCTGAGATCACAAAATACTAGGGATAATAGTTAGCAAACTTATTTTATATATACCTAGCCTATCTTTTTCATTTGTAATATATTCTCTTAATTTTTACTTAGTCACGTTGCTTTGCTTAAAAAGGTTTTCAAGTTTTGCCATAAAAACTATAGTGCCCATGAAAATGTAATGAAATAACTAAAATATGTAAACTTAAAGCTAACGAATTACTAATTTAAGCTGTTAAGCGTGTCACTATTTTATATATTAATGCTTTAAAACGGTAATTAAGACACTAATAAAACAAGAAAGCTGTGAACGTAAGCTTGTAATTTATTCAATATATGTCTTTGCGAATTCCTTAAAGTCGCCTACAGTAATTTACATCAAATATTTAAAGCAAATCACATTTATGAAATAGTTATACATATATTTACATAGCTTTTTTTTATTCCTCAATTAATTTTCCGTTCTTGTTTGCTTTCTTGACCATTTCTTTGGGTATGCTCTTACATTAATTACGATTATCACGCATACGCAGTGGTGACCAAGACGAAGAGCAGATAATTATTTACAAAAGTGGCAAGCAAAGTTTATCTTGAGGCCGACAGACAACAGTTGCCATTTGGTTGTTGATTTTTTATGGAAGAATTATGGCTTCGCCCCAGGGGGTTGGAGGGGGTGGTGGTGGAAAGCCGAACTAAATGGCTTCCTGCGGGTGCAGTTTCCCTCTGTCCATCTGCTTTGCCTCCCCCGCTTTTCACCATTTTCCCAGCGACCTGTTGTGCAAGACGTATAAATATATTGTGCAAATTGTAATTTAAAACATTTTGGAGCGAAGCCAAGTAATAATTTGTGTTCTCCTTGCCGTTGGTTGCATCTCGCGTCCTGGCAACGGATTTCGCATTTTGAATTGTGAAATGGCGGAATTGATGCGCTCCAGTGCACTGAGCCTGGGCCTGAGCGCTCGCTCAGCTGGGAGCGCTGGCATTGTTATCCTTTTTCCGTATCCTTTTCGCGCCATCCTTAGCCTGCCGGCAGTTTCCATTTCCCAGTTGCCGGTTCCCGGTTTCCACTTTCCTTCAGCTGGCATATCAATGAGACTGCTTGAGAATAGCATTTTATTGCTTCAAACAACATGGAAAGTCAAGTGTTGCAGTCTCGCGCAATTATTCTCCTCCTCCTCCCTACTACTACTTGCTTTTTTTCCAAGGGATTTTTTTGCGATTTTTCCGCTCTGGGTATTTCCTCGTTTGCCGAAATCGGTTCGGCGCAATAAATTCTATTAAAATGCAATTTGAAGGCTCTGTGATTTTAAATAATGCCAAGAGCAGCCATCGGGTTAATGCAGACAGCCGGTATCCTTGGCGCTTTGTTATCCTGGCAATCGCTTGCTTTCCCATTTCCGCTGGTATTTTTTTGTTTTTTTTTTTATTGTGTGTGCCCTTCCAGTTGGAGATTTATGCAATCTCCTGCCGTTGTTTGTTCGCCGGATATTCGAAGTATTTATGGTCTGCCCGGAGAGTCCTTAGCTAATTGGCTTGTCAATTTAATCGGAAGTTGTTTGGGGCTTATCTCCAAGGATTGCCTTTCCATTTTCGGGTCTGCTTGTGTCAGTGTTCCCACATGCTTGAAGTGGAAAAGAAAACCGCAGCCGTAAGAAATTGCAATTTAATTAATGCCAAGCGAGGAAGAAGATTAAAATAGTTGAAATGTCATTAGCAACGAATTTCGGCAGGATGTGGATGAGAGCCGGGACCAGAAGGGATCCTTGTGGGAAGCGCTGCCAGAGGAGGTCAACGTGTTGACCACACAATTGTGTGGTCACGTGATGACTTTTTGGCGCTTCTCCTGTGGTCATAATTTCAGCCACAGAGTGGAAAGAGGGAAAAGGAAAAGCAAGCGAAGAACAACCACAGGCAATTCGCTGACTCTGGGGATTGTCTCCTGTTCCTTTTTTTTTGGCTCCGACTGCTGCTCTTTAAGTTCCGCCGGAGTTCGTGTTAAAAATTCATTAGGAGTTTTAATTAAAATTCTCTCTGTGGCCCACAAAGGCGCCTTTAACACTTAACATCCTGGCAGCTCTCAAAAGAAGTTCGCGGCCAAAAACTTAAAATAAAAATTAGCGCAAAAACTTTTCGGATATGACTTTTTTCTCTTCTGTTCTTGGCAAGTCAGTGCCCTCGTTGTCCCATAATTTTGTCGCCAACCAAAAACACAGAGCCAGCAAAAAAAAATCAACCATGGGAAATGAGGGAAAAGCAATGTGAGGACAGCCTCCATATGCGACCCTTGGCACTTTACATGCATGACTACGTCTCCTTTTAATATCCTGTGTACTGGCGTGGCTTCAAAACTTCCGCTGGCAAATAAATAAAATAGTAAACACAGCAAATACATATTTTATATACTTGCAGGGTATTATAATTTCAGTCAGAAGCTTGAAACGTAAGGAAGAAATCATTTCCGACCCTATAAACCATATATATTCTTGGTCAAGTTAAAAAAAAAGATAAGAGGTTAAATCGTTAAAATTGTCAAAAGTTAGCAAAAAATTTTATAAATTTAAAAACTTAGTATGCAGAAATGCACTCCGACTTAAAATTAACGCATTTTTGGCATAGTTATGATTTTTGAAAAACTTTGATTTACCCAAAAAGTGCACATATAAGAATATAAATTAAATTTTTGGTTTTCTTGGTGGCATACGAAGGCCGAAAACCAATTTATATTTCGATTTACTATCAACATTTTAATCAATAGAGTACCGATTTTTCATTTGAATCCATGATCCTTTGGCAAAATACAAGGGTATACAAACTTCGGCTTCTCGACGTTAACTTTGTTCCTAATTTGATGTATTTTTTATGGGACTTAAATGGGCTTTAATATTTAACATTTGTGTTTGTACAAGTTTTAATTACTGAATTATTTGCATATAATCTGCTGGATTAAATGTGGTTAAATGTTAATATTTAATTATCAGGATTTTGATTCTGAGTAAATATATTAGGCTTAGCTATGTTTTTATTTGCACTTAATTGGAATGGGATTAATATAGAAATATTTAAATCTCTCCGTTTATAATATTTATTGAATTGATTGAAAGTATTTAGAAAGCAGAAATTTAAGTTGATTATATCTTTATTAAAGGTGTTTAATGGTCACATGAAATTAAATATAATAATTAAATCATGAGATTTCCTGCGCACAAGTCTCTGCATTTAGGGTTTAATTTAATTTACATATTTAATTGACAATGCTCATCCAAGAAAATGACAAATTCCTTCTACAAACCATTTTACTTTAATTACCTACATTATTTAGAAATATTCGATGCACTGCTCACTGGTTTGACAGGAGTAATTATAAATGTTATTCAGTATCTTGTGCGTCATCATTCAATGTCATCATTATTTTTCCTGCAATTACATTGGGCACTAATTATTTGGGACAACATTTCGCTGTTTTCGTATTTTGACGAAAAATGTGCACTTTGTAATTAAATTCTCCAGTGAATTTTGCAATGCCACGCATCATTTTGCCCATTATTGTGACAGCCAGGTCACGATTCAAGTTAGTTAGCGTTCCATCGACAATGCGATGCCGTAATCATAATTACTTTTGCATAATTTGACCCAAATGGTGTGTGAGGGAGTGGGGTAGATTGAGAGGGGAAGGACATTCGGACAGGTCCCGGCGCAATATTCAATTACAAACATTGGCAAATGTTCTAAACATTTCGAGTGTCTGGCTGAAATTAATTTGTTTGTGTAACTGGGCAAACTAACACGAGGTGGAGGTGTGCTAACAAATTGCGTACGTGTACACGTGCATGTACGGGGCGGCGAGGTCCTTTTGGTCCTTTGGTAATTGTAATGCGAGCAAATAACGGAGCAAGGGCCACCCGAATATTCATACACATACACACATCACGAAGGACATTGGCAAACACAGATGCAAACACGGTGCCAGAGATGGAGTGAAAGCAAATGCCAACAGGACGAATGCTTGATGTGGGTGCCTTGTTATTGTCCTGTTGGTGAAAATTTTTTAATTTCAATTTTTTCCCTTCGCTTCGACCGGTTCCAGTTGGGAAACAAGTTGTGTTGCAAATTTGAATTTATGTCCTGCCGACACCTGCGATATCCAGCTGTGGTCAGCTCTATTCAGCGAGGGTTTCATTGTCGACAAAACTTTTGCCACCCAGATTCGAGCACATTAGCTCCATATGACACCTTAAAGTGTTTACCTGGTCCAGCAGGGATCGGAGTCCAAGTCGGGGGAATACCTTGATTGGATCCGGGGGTATGGAAAATGCTTGCTTAAATTGAATTCACAAAGTTATGAATAGTTAATATGCGAAGAAGGGGGAGCTTGATATGGGAATGTGTAAAGCCATAAAAGGTGTGAGAAGGTGCAGAAAGACATTGTAGATAGCTAGGTGATTTTGCTACTTACAGTGACATAAATGTTTATTATTTAATTATAGAAATGCTGTAACATCGAATTTAAAAATTGACAGCTTTGAAAGGCCATTAAATATTTAAAAATAATACATGTTATATGTATGTTGTAAGTTATGTTATAGATATTCAAAGCCATTGCCTTTACACATTTCTCACTATTATTAACAACACTGCAAATACTAAGCCTTTCTACAACCAGAATTCAATTTACCCGTATATTGGAAAATCTAAATCCCCCTTCCTTTGAATTCAAAGTTATTAAATGCCTTTGGTAAAACAATGGCGATGCTCTTTGCATATGAACGCTGTATTAGAGACCAAACTGGACCGAGCCATGACCCCAATCCGTCCAATCCATTGTTCTAACATCGACTGCATTATTAATCAACAACAGGAGCGCGCACAACAATGCCACACTTTCTCGCTTCCACTCCCTTTGAGTTCAATATATGTGTGTGGCATCGTTTATATAGAGTATATATATCCCTACCTGAATGCTGTCAATGCAATCCACATTTACCAAAGTATTTTTCATTAGAGCAATTTTTGTTAATTACAGCTGACTAAGGGAAGCAAGAAATGGCAGAGAAGGAGCTGCCATGTCCATAAAGTGTCGGTTTCCATTTTGGGAGACCAGAGGTACATGGCAAGAAATTATATTATATAATGTAGTTAAGAAAATTGTTAGCTTTTGTGATTAATTTTTATTGGGTCTACAAAAAAGTTAAACTAAATTTAAGACTAAATTTTATTATATTACAAATTTATAGACTGTTTGATACCATCACGGAAAGCTTAAGCCTAAAGTTTTTGGTTTTTATCTTCAGGATTTCTTATAAAGTTTATAATTCAAGTTTTGTAAAGTTCCCTGAATTTGTTGACAAATTAGTGTCCCAATTATTTCTTGCCGTGCAAGTCCTTTGGCTGCAGTCTCCTGTCAATCGATGTTGCAGTTGTTTTGCCGGACCCCGGATTTCGATTTCGGTTTCGCTTTTGTTTTCCTATTCGACTTTGGTTTGGCATCTCTGACCTATAAATCATCTAATGGCCGGGACAGGTTAGGTTCGGTTGGGTTTCCCTGGGTGGGAGGCATGGGATTTTTCCGCTGCATCTCGCTGCCCCCGCGCATGTGTCAATATTTGTGCGAAATGCGGCCGCAGTCTCATCGACACAAACACTCTCCATCATCCACATTCGGTTTCGGTTTTTGTGGGTTTTAGTTTTGTGTTGTCCTGCGAGTTGCAGAAGCACTCGTTGCCCATTTGTCCGAACCAGTGAGGGTGGGGTGGGGGTGGCAACACAAGCTTTTAGTTGTTTAAATTTAAGTTGCAAGGAAAAACACGAAAAACAAAGATAGAAAGTAGAAAAAAACCCCATCGAAAACAAAGCAAGAGGTCAGAAGTCACAGGCGATTCTAGTCCGCATTGAATATTTTAACTATTTTCTGTCGGCAGTCGACTTAATTTCCGTTTTTATTTTCATTGCCCGATTTCAAAGTTCAACGTTTACATTTGTGAGCGAACAGATGGACATCTGTTTTGCACTTCATTTGTTATGGAATTGAATTTTCTTTGGGCGGTTTTCAATGGCATCCCTTTTCTTTGGGGTTTCCCTTCTCGCTTTTCCCATCAATGCTGGCAGTATCACGTGGCGTATGGGCAACTTATTTGCCATCTGTCATGGCTCGGTTGAGAAATGAAATGAAATCAAATGCAGTCGACTGAGAAATTGAGAATAAGAGTTCCGAAAGAAGTTTCTTTTTCTTATTCTGGGGGGAAACTTACGAACCCAGCACCCTTTGAGTGTTGTAAGACAATTTGAGTGTTTGAGTAGTTTGAAGAATGTTTTTTCGAGAGATTTTATGGGAGGTGTTATTTCTATTATGACTTGTGGGATTTGTCAGAGAAATAAATTAAACAGCTCAATGGATCAGCTCTATTTCTCTATTCTCTATTCTCTATGTTTCTTACTCTCTCCCTCTCGCACCCTCTCTCTCTCTCTCTCTCTGTTGATCTATTTGTTTATCAGTATGTCGACGGCTCTAAGCGCTATCGCTCGCTGCCTCTTTCAAGCGATAACTCTTTCTCTCTCTTGCTCTCACATTCTCTGTTCTCTTTGCTCGTGGAGTATAAATACAGGTACCACTTTCGCGCGCGACTCAGTCTGTGCGTGGCCCTCCCAGTGTAAACATCTGTAAGTGGAAGTGATATTAAGTGATAGTGACTGCCTGCCAACCCAAAATTAACACCTGATGAATGCTAAATAACTGGATAAACAGGAAGAAGAAGAATATCACTTCGATGAATACTATGGAAAGGCTAATTGGAGTCAGCAAGAAGAAGAAGGTAAGTCTTAACCATGACAATTATATTGTGCTTATAGAATCAGCTCTTCTTCTTTATTTATGCATTTATTCTTCCTTATTACTATGGACCATTAACTAATTTAATTTGTAGTAGCTTGTATGAGGGATTGCTTTATACTTAAAAGTAATGCCTAACTTAATGATTACTCATTCATGAATATTGATTTCTTAACCTAACCATAGTTTTATAACAGAAGCTTAACTCTTACTTTTGCTACATCATTATACCCTTGCAATGTGTGATTATTTAGTCAGAAGCTTCCAAAACAATGAGGGAGTCATTTGCGGCCTGATAAATCTTATATATTCTTGATCAGCATCAACAGCTGAATCGATCTAGCCATGCCCGAGAAAAAAATATCTTTTTGACACTTTTTCAAAATTTTATAATGGGTTAAGTCGTTAAAAATGTCAAAATTTAAAAATTTAGTATGCAGATTTGTTAGCCCTATAAAATACTTGTAAAGAAAAGCTTTTCGAATTGAAATAAATGTATTTTTGACTAAGTTATAATTAATTTCACATTTGAACCAATGGGGTTATGCAAGGGTATAGACACTTCGGCCTCTCGGAATCAGCTTCCGCTTTGTTTTTACTTGCTGTTATCATTAATAAGAACTCTGAAGCCTTAAACTAAGAACTACATTTCTTCACCTCTAATAATTTGTCTTCGACTTCATTGTACTTTATATGAATATGTAAATATTTTATTTTCTGTATTAATTTCTATAAAATATTTACCAGATTTCATACAATTCATATTTTATGCCAAATATATTACAAATTGGAATTTGCAAAAAAAGTTTAATGCAAAATAATAATGTTTTTGAAGGGGTTTCATTTCCCAAAAAGCCCAAGAGCAAACTTTTTCCTTCTCACATCTTGTAAATTGCAATACAAACTCTCTCTTTGGGCAAATATTTTTCTGGTTTCCTAGAACGAAAACAGAGGCAACAATTAAAAGGCAAATCTGCAATTGTTTAAACTTTAAACCCTATGACCACAAGCCAGGACAATGGATGGGAAAAGGAGCACACAATGTGGCAGCAAACCGCAAAAGGCAGAGTGGAAAAATCTAAGAGCATTTCAGCCGCAAGCTGCCGCAGGTCCCAAAATAGTCATAAATTTCGAGCATTTTAACAAGAACCAGACGGCAAATGGGAAATGTAAAGGGCAAACGCAAAAAATGAGGGGAATAAAAAAGAAGAAACTGAAATAAAAAAACACAGAACCGAAGGCCGGCAAAGGAAGTATCTGGAGAATAAGTGTGGCAACGCCTAAGGAGTTTTCCCTTTAATTTACCTTTTTTTTTGCCATACCAAACCCCAGTTTCCTTTCGTGTCATCTTAATGACACTTTAAAAATCCCCACAAAAGTGCAATCCATTTGAGCCTGGCCGTTAATCATGGACAAACGCAAAGTGCAGCCAGAAATGTAAATAGTTAATGGCCATTGAAGGGCCATAAGTGACGCAAATATATTGTTTTCAATATGGCCAGAGACTGCTGCTGGCTGCGGAAATGGCGGTAAAGTCCGCGTAGCTTCTGCATCCTGCAGCTCATATTGCTAAAGCGCGAACATTAAGTGGCAGTGTCGTCTGGCGATGTCGTCCTTTCGTCCTGTCGCCCAAAGAGTGAGCTGGAGAAGCCAGTTAATGCAGGACATTTCCCTTTGTGCTGCCAGAGGGGTCGCAGTGAGTGTGCGCAGCAACATTAAAACAGGAAGGGAATATTTAATTTAATGGTGAATATCGAATGGGAAATGCCCTGGATGAGCACTACATTATAAATGCGTAAAGGTAGAAGCATTTTATTCCGCTCGAAGTTAGCTAGTGGAAGCCATTTAAATATGATTAAGTTCTAAGAATTTAACCTCAGTTTATGCTTCTACCAGTAATAGTTCTTTGGGGCTTATTTTTAAGAAAATTTTAAAAGAAACAAAATGCTAAAATATGAAGGATAAGTGAAAATTTTCAGGGCTTTTTTATTAAACCAGTTTAATATATGCTGCAAAATGTATTCTTCTGCTTTTTTTTTTTTTTAATTTATTGATAGTATAAATGTGTTATTTCCATATCTACAAATTTGTTTGCGTCTTAAACATATTATAAATACATTGTACTTTGGTACTTATTAGTCTCAGTAACAATACATGAAGCGTTCTAAACTGCTTGACTAAATTTGGTTTATTAAATAAATATATTTATTTAAATTTAAATTATTTGTTTTAATATTTTTTGAATTTCTTAAACCAGGACTGAAATCATTAATACATTAATTATTAATTTTAAGTATTAATATTGCCTTTCAAAGTACTTCAAAAACATTTTAATTAATCTTATATTTTCAATCCTTATTCAGCCAGGATTGTGGCCTTCTAGGAAGGTGAATTAGGAATATGTTAAAATGAGAACAATTTTAAATAAACAATTTTAGTTAGGGCTGTCACTTAACTATGCTTTCCAAGAAGGTTTGAGCTCTTAAAATTCCCCTGAATTAACTAAATGTTCGTAGAACTTAAAAAGGGTAGAATAATAATATATTTTTGCCTTCGCAAGGGTACATGACCGTTGCACATCATAGCCAGCATCCGGGATCCGGATTCCGGATCACGCACGTAGTCACGACCAGGAAACCCACATACTCCAAAAACTAAACAAGGAGCAGGAATGGGTGGCCGTTGGGCGTATGGGTTTTTGGGGCGAAACAGCACGGACATTAAGCACGTCGGCAACATAAATATTTAATTTTGCTAAAAATTTGTGCTGAAAAGTCGCTTTTTTGCATTAGGAGGAAGTGGGAGTACAAGGCGGATGCCCCATACAAACACACCCTCACACACACACACACACACACACCCTTAGAGCGCAGCATAAACTAAACAAAATGGCGTCGACGAAAGGATGCGCTACGTAACCGAGAAGCTCGTTGTTTTCCCAGCTTTTCCTGCACTTGTTGTTGGCTCGCGTCGCCGTAATGATAAGCGCTGTTAGTGTTTACTTAATAGGCAAAATTATGTTGCCTCGCCAGTGGAAAAGGCAGGACGTACATACACACAAACACAAAAGGCTTTGACTCAAACACGGCTCAAAGGCATAAATTATTGCGGTTAACTGGCTTGGCTGGAGCCGCAAAATGGAGCACGGAAGGCGTTGTCAGAGTCGGGAGTATCGAGGAAAAACCTAGAGTCACAGCCGGATGCTTGGCTTGAAGTCTCTTCCATGATATTGTAATATGAAAAAAAAGGCCTCTACCAAATAACTAGCAAGTCTCGAATGTTACTTAGCTCTCTTTTGTAACATTTTTGCATTGTTTTTCAAGCTTCGTTTTTATATATTTTAACTCCCTGCTAAAGCTTGCCGAGATTTATGCCAAGAGTTTGAGTTTGTTTTCGCTAGGCTAGCGTTTTCAGGCAATTGCGTTTGAACTTCGATGATTAATGGCATATTTTCGAATATAGTTTATCCATAAAGTGTGCAAGTTGACACAAGAAATTCACTTTGGGGAAATATAATTAAATTTTGGCTCTGATTTATGGCATTAACTATTTGGATAAAGGGTTTGTGACATTCTGTGAAGGCAGAAAGGGATTTATTTATAGCAGATATTAACACCTAAATATTTATTTTTGAATGCTGTTCATCTTGGTAAGAGTAAACCACTTTAATGTTTATTCTATGAATTTCTAGTGGTTTGCAATATTTTCCAACCAAATCCATTTCATTAAATACCTTTACATGTTCAACAAATTAAAATTACAATTTTACAAAGTTCAAAATACCTTGGCTCTTGAGCTTTTTCATTGTCTTAATTAAGTTATTGTTGAAATGCCGTGAAAATACCTTGCATGGTCGAGATTAATTTAAATATTTGATAACATAAGCACGGCTAGCCATAGCCAACATAGTCCGGAAGTTGATTACGCTTGCTTGTGGTTTATTACATCCATTTTAAGTGGACCTTAATGAAACAGTTTGCAAATATTTGCGCATATTGCAATTGGCCAAAAGTTTTGCAAATTTGAATTTTCGAATTTGCTGTTAATTGAACGCTTGTCGATCCCAAAGCTGCCTTGTTTGCACTTCACATTTGTTGTGATTGCCGGGATGCAGGGAGCCAAACAAAAGGCAAATAAATGTGCAAACATGTGCGGGGCCACACACAGGCAAACAACACAGGACAAATGGATGGTTAAATGTGTCACTAATTACAAATGGCCGGCTATCCATCAGGCGAACAGAGGAAAAATGTCCTTGCCAAATGGTCGATTGGGGACACTTAATGGCGTTTAATATCAGAAAAGGTTCTTAACAAGGCCAGCGGCGATATAATGTACTCAATTAAAATGCGAGCAAGACAAAGTATCCGTTTTACCCGGCGACTCTATCTGCGGCTGTGGCAATTTATGCGGCACCATGGCGTATACTTAATTTGACAAATGGCCAACAAAGCGCGGGCGTCTTTATAAACATATATATATTTAGCGGAGAATGCCATTTATTTACAACAAAATATATATATTTAACTCCTAATTAAAGTGGCATTTAAGTGCTATAGTTTTTTCATTGTGCGAATAAAGAAAATTTGCTTTATTTGCTCAGTAAATAATATATGACAACATATTTGCGAGAATGATATATGCCTATTTCCCTTTTAAAACAATAAGTAATATATATATTTAGTAAATAAAAATGTAACAACCAAAACACATTTAATTGTCAATCGTGCATTTTTCAGTCCGCGATGTCATTAGCCTTGTCTAATGACGACCAAATTAAATGTTCTATTTCTCTGCCTGTTATTTAAATTACAGATGACTTTAATTATAGAGAGCCTGTGAATTATGCATAGCTTTTCATGGCTCATTTGCAATGCATTCACATTGAATTATGTCCGACACAAAGTGCGGCAACAAATCATATGCCACGAAACGAAATCGAATCAATTTTGCAAATCGAAAATCACTAGCAGGCGCTGACAACTTCACATCATGTCTGGCTGGAATGGCTTGACAATGTTTGGATTGAATCCAAAATACAGGTGGAAATTCCGGCCCCAACACGAGCTGCATGTCTGGCTTAAAAAAACTTGAAGCATGCATCACAATGTCGGGGGAAACTCTTCAATCTCATCTCTCAATCGTCTGTCAATCCATCCGCCCTCCAAGTCAAGTGTTTGGCTGTCTGTCAAACAGTGATTGACGTGGCGAGGCGTGTCAATAAACCGAGTCAGTCGAGTGCCGCAAAATTGCAAAGAAGCAACTCAAGAATGCCAACCAATTGACATTAGAAAAGGTAAAAGGGGTTCGTTGAGCAAATAAAGTTGATTGTTTGTAATCCTTCTAGAAAAATGAAATCAAAGTCCATAAATGTCAAAGCAAGATTAAAGAAATACAATGTCTGATATAATAAGTTCTTTTATTTGAAAAACTTTTAAATTGTATAGTACAAATTAACCGCATAACCATTTTAATGAATTACCTTTTGCAATATTAATCATTTGTAATTCAACTTTTATTATATTTGTTCCGAGTTTTCCCATTTCCCAACGCTGCTTATTTTTACCTCGCTGGCCCTCCGGCTGCAAGTGTTAAAAATACATGGCGTATACACAATGTTGCTTCGGAGTTTGTTTATTGTGTCTGTAGTTATTTGACCCCGGGTCAGCTGTGCTGCTATATTTATGTGCCAAGCAGCGCTTAAATTTAAACTCTAATTATAATTAGGGGTGGCGAAGAAAAATAAAATCGAGTAGATTTATTTCCTGGCGGGGCAAGTGCAATTAATTAAAAGGCAGACTACCGTTGATGGATGGCGAAACCACGGGGGCGTATGTGTAATTTAAATTAATTTTGCACTAAATGCGCCCCACCCGTCGATGGTTCGGAGGATTGCGGTTCATGCCACATGCAATCGCTGTGCCACATTGCGTTGTGCTTGTGTGCTGCACCGCGAAACCTGAAAAGCATTTAAAATTCTTGCCACCTCTTTGCGTCCGTATTTGACACGAATTTTTAATTGTCTAGTGGGAAATTGGAACATTCGGCAGGCATTTGCACTCTGCGGTTTTCTAAATAACTAAATATCTTTGGCCCGCAGCCGCATTTGTTGGGGTTTTGGTTCAAGTGGGTCTCATTGAGCCACTTCTATGGCTGCAGTTGTCCCACATTCAGCGGCTCTCTTTTCCATTCCAATCCCAGCGTTGGGGGCAAAGTTTCTAGATATTATCGCTGACCATTGCCCCATGGTCGGTCATTTGGTTCTCCTATGTACCTGGGGGCATCCCTCCATCACTCCATCGTTGCAGCATGTTGATTTATATTTATATTGCTGTCCAAGTGTATCTCGGTGAGGCTCTAAACTGGGTTATGGGGTTGCCGGCGGGCCATAAATTGAATTACGGCTCACCAAATGGTCGAGAGTCGTAAGCGTAAATTTTGTCAATAAAGTTGGGCATTATGAACATTAAATGCAGAAGCATCCACAGGACTAATGCTGTGTTTTTGATTTTAAGTGATTGACAAACTAGTTTAAACAAATAATCAATTGAAATTTAAATGTAAATTTAACAAACTTTAAAGATCAAACATTAAGTGTAACAAGTCCTTAATAGCTTTAAATCTTAAAAAGTTTATATGAAATAACTTATCAAGACTTCAAGTATTTAAAGGCATATCATAAATTAAATTAGATTCTATAAAAATCAAGTTTTAATTTAAATATGAATCACATAATAAATTCATATCAGAAATTGTGTTTTTAAAGGACTTTTAACTATCGGTTTAATATTGATAAAATAATTGTTTAAACATGTTTTTCTTCCCAAATAACTTTTAATAACGCAAAAAAACTCTAAACAATTTTTATTAATAAAAGTAAATATTCTATAAAATAGTTACTAAATCTAAATACTTGAACAAAAAACTTCGATTTGTTTCTATGATTTTCGCCCTGTAAAAATAGACAGCGATTTGATAGCATAAATATTAAATAAATCTATCAGACAAATGAAAGCTGGTGATATTGTAGTCTGGCTCACCCACACACACACACACACTGAAATTTTTATAAAAAACAATCAATTGCAGCTCAAATCCATACACACACACACACACACAGAGACACTCAGAAGTACACACAGACCTAGAACGCACTTTTGTTTCTCTTTTGAATGGGCTATAAATGCCGGCTAAAGAAGCGCATAAAAAAACCTTGCCGATATGCTTCAAATGTAAGATAAACAAACCGGCAAAAGATTTGCTACTCACACAAATGCCCAGCACACACCACGCCTGACTCCCACTCACACACACTCACCCACATACATTTATAATGGAAAAGAGAATTTCCCACTCAACGCAAACTCACCAAATTTCCCTGAAAAGAGCGAAGTTTAAATTAAGAGAGGTAATTTACTTCAGTTGGTCGAATTTATGCCTTTTTTTTAGCAAAGTTTGTTAGCGGTAAATTGGATTTTCAGATTAGCTTTATTTTATTTTCTATTTAACGTTTGTTAATTTTTGGAAGAGGTTTAACAGGTTATTTTAAGTAGTAAAATGATTTACAACACTTCAAATAAAGGTAAAAGATACAAAATATATACACAATTTTAAATAGTCCAAAAATATTAAACAATTACTTTCTTTAATTTCATATTTTGAATACTCAAATATATTATAGGAAAAGATTTTATTATATATTAAAAATATTTCCATAAAGATTGCTTTGAATTCTAAAAGTGGAAATTACATTTCGTAAAGATTAAAACAATAGTACTAAAACTTGTATTACAGAACATCGTTCATAGCTATGTGTAGTATCTTTATCTTCTGAAGTGCATACTTAAAATTTCTGTACAACCTTAAAAATTGTGTTAGAAAAACACATAATTCATAAACATATGTATATCCGCATGCTTATACCTCTACAAGTCTATAAAAGATCAGGAATTACACCTGCTAAGGTTATTTTTAACTCCATTCACTATGGATTTCCATAGCTCACACTTATTTCTAGTTTTAGTGATTGGCTTCACCTCGGCGAGAAGAGTTCCCTTTAAATATATTATTGAGGGCGCCAATGAATCCATTGAGAATGCCCCCTGGCAAGTATCCATTCATTATTTGGGAAGTCATATCTGTGGTGGATCCATTTATAGTTCAAGGATTATCCTAACTGCCGCTCATTGCCTAGTGGAATATTATCCCGAGAACTTGGGGGTTCGATTGGGTTCCAGTTATCACAATTATTATGGCAGCTTGGTTGGGGTTTCCCTGATAAGAACCCATGAGAAATACGATTCGAGCTCCTTGGACTACGATGTGGGACTGGTGGCTCTTGACAGCGAACTTGATTTCGAGGAAGTCTTTTCTATTCGGGCCATAAAACTTGCCAAGGAAATACCACCATCGGGATCCAGGACATCTGTGACCGGTTGGGGAATCACGGGATACGGAGAAACGGAAATTTTGCAGTCTCTAGAAACGCATATTGTGGATCTGGAACAATGTAAAATATCTTACAAAGATTATTTGATTACCGAAATATGCTATGTACCTCAAATGTAAATTATGGAACCTGCCAAGGAGATTCTGGCGGAGCTTTGGTCTTTCAAGGCAACCAGATTGGCATCGTTTCCTGGGCTGAGGGCTGTGCAGACCCAGCTTTTCCCACAGTGTATGCCAGTGTACCAGCATTACGGAAATGGATTGTAGAAAATGCCAAAGATATAGAAGCAAATTAAACTAATTAAAAATATATATTACTTTGAGTGGTAATTGTTCCAGTTGTGTTTTGAAGCACACTTTTGCGGCAAGTGCTTATTGTTGCAGTTTCATTTTAAGTGCGTGGATAAATAATAGAAAAACAACCTTTGGGGTCACCAAAATGGCTCTAAAAGCTCTTGACGACAACCCAAAAATAAAACGAACAAGTAAAACAGGGACATACAAACACACGAGCAGGGAAAACAAAGCATAATAAATTGTGTTTTTCTTGCTGCCGTGGCTGCTGCACTTAATAATTATAATTTATGCCAGAGTCAACAATTGTGGGCTACCGAAAACCGAAGCACACGCAAAAGGTGCACATTATAAACTTGTTGTATATTGTTTTTCTACATAATTGCCACTAAAATGGGTTACCCAGGTGCACTAGAGATGCACAAATATCTAAAAAAGAAAAAAGACCATGAAATTTCACCTGAGGTTTTGCCTGAATTTCCATTCCCTCTGGGAAAGATTAATTTTCCCGAGCGTGATGAAGTGTCTATGCAATTATCATCTAACAGATAGCTATCCTTTTGGGCAGGTCCTGGCATTAACATGCTGTTGGTCCTTTTGCAATCGCGCCTGTGAACTTCGGCGGCGGCTTTAAATTGATGGGCTTCAATAAATTTGGGTAACAAGATGTGTGTGTGTTGTGTCAATGTTGTGCGGATTCCCCGTGTGTATGTCTATGGGAGTGGCAACCGCAGCTCCTGCCTTTTGCAGCCACCACGAAACCAGTTGACACATGTTGCAGTTAACATGGCAAGTGGATGTGGCATCATTGAGAGAGAGGGGAACGACATGGCTTCAACTGCCAGTTCGGTGGACTCTGTTTGCGGTGCAAAGTGATTCGCCATTATAGCAGCACCCCAAAAACCCATTTGGGCCACTGTCTTTGGCACTTTGATCATTTGCCATTTGCCTGTTTGCGTTTTAATTAACTTACACGGGCTTAACGAACACTACCCCTGTCTCTGCCCTGTCTCCCTTCCATCGCTTCGAGTTCAATCCCGGGGAGGCTGCTTATTAGCTCTTGACATGGTTAGGCCCTGGATATTTACGGGCCCATTCGCACTCGCAATTGTAGTTGTGGCCATTCGATCGGTTGGCCAACACCTTGGCCATCAGGCTTAGGCCACCTCGTAAGCTGCTTAGCCGCTGAGCTCTTGATTTCCAAATGAAGTCGGTCACTGCGGGGATTAGCACAATTGCGGAATGGTGCGAGTTCTACCATTAAATTCCTGAAATTAAACCACCTTTAATTTAGCCAGAAGAGAGAAAAGTAACAGAATTTAAGGTTACTAAATTCAGCAAGCATTACTCTATATATAGTAACAATAACATAAATTAAAATGTCATTAAGAGCTGTTTTTGCCAACTTGCTGCCGGCCCAAACAATTTGGCAAGCTCATTTTTATAATTGAGCCAGAAAATTTATCCAATCTTCCATTAACAGCAACTTTTCTCGTGAGTACAGAACGAATTATTACCCGGAATTTCCCCGCACACACACACACACGCCCCACAATTTATTTCAATTGTAGGCAGAACAATGAGGAAGAAATGAAATTTTCATTTAATTCATCAATTGAATTTGTTTTTGGGGCGCCAGCGGAATTAATGGTTTGTCGTTTAATTTTCACGAAATCCCGCACACTGACGCACTTGAATAATAAATGGATACTCCAAAGATGTCATTTTTTCGACAGCTTTTCCCCATTGGCACGATGCGCCTTCGCGTCTGCCTGTCAAATATTTGATTTGGCCTTGGTCTAAGTTGGGAAATACTTTCCTTTCCGCTTTCCTCGTCCTTGAAGGCCGCCGCTGGCCACTTGAGCAGCATTCTCTAGCTCTCTCGAGTCGACGAGGGTTTCCCGGGCATAAAAAGCATTTCGATTAGACGGCATTTCTAGGCATTCGAGTGGAATTTTTGAGATTGGTGGACTCGAGATGGACTAGCCTAATTGGCCAGCTTATTAAAGCCATTGAACTTGAAGTTGGGCCAACTTTCGGCAGGGGAAACAGCTGCTGGCCGGAAAAGGAAAACTTTTTGCCCACTTGCGTTCAACTTTTAGCCCCATACATTTCCATATTAGGAGAGCAGCAGAAGTAGCAGCAGCAAGCTGTACAAACATAGTTGATCCAATTAACTAACTAAGAATCACTTAGGTTGAAAGTTTAGTCCAGGACTTCACTCAACACACACGCACAGCACTTCACATTGCTTTGAGGCATCAAAGTTATCCCTTTAAATGCTTACTCAATCAATTCTCGGAGTAGCTCGCAGGATGGCTTATCCTTGCACACTCCACACACTCGTTGTCATTGTCCTGCGAGGAGCTTTTGACGAGACAATTGTATTCATTGCCACTTTAATTTAGCGATGCGTAAGCCGGTGTCAGTCACTGCACGTTGAAGTGATTTTTTTCCCCAGCTGGCTTTCCATTTCTTTTTTTAGCATTATTTTGTACTCAATTTCTCTGTTTTATTTTGCATTTTTGCAGAGCTTCCGGTTGTTTTTTTGTCTGCGTTTTAAAGTGCAATAATTTGCATTGCAACTGACATGATATCACTTTGAAGTGCAGTACTTCCCACTGACACTCACCGACAATTGAGGAAACAAGCCCGTAGTGGCACATGGCAGCAAAAACATGTATTTAAATTGCCAGAGAGCTATTTGAATTAACACTTCCGAAAATGTAGGCAATAATTGGCGTTTGGTTTTTTTTATCAGTTTCCAAATGAAATGGATGTTAAATTTAAAATAAATTTAAAGTAAATAACACAAGTAATCGGTTTGACTTGGAATTAAGTGTAGGCATTCGAATTAGATGAATAACATTTTGTTTTTACACATAATTTATTTCCCCTAGAGATTCTATATTTACTTCTCAAGTTTAATAGTTGTTTAAAGTATATAATATTATTTTCACAATTAAAATTCCCCCTGTCCAGAACCAGAACATCAAAGCTTTGATCCCCGAATCCTTTGACAGGAGCCTCTCTCCTCTTTGCATTGCAACTCATTAAAAATGTTAACAGGGGGAGCAGCAACAAAGCCAAACAAATAGCAAAGGAGGTTGTACCGGTGAGAAGGTGGTGGAAAATCATGGAAAGATGCCATGGCAGATGAAGGAAAAGCGGAAAAATCCACGAATGAGTCAAGGTGAACACACTCTTTGGCCCAAAGATCCGCTTTGGCAAGCAAATGAAGCCCAGAAGACTGTCCCTCTTAACACCCAGCATCCCACATCCAACATCCAACATCCAACATCCAGACACCTTTCCTCGCCCCCACCTTGCAGGATGCACTTCCTCTAGACGCTTTCGCCTTGCTCCTTCTTTGTTTATTTGCTCGGTGCGTTTTCAGTTGACTGC